TTATTCCAATAGGCATATAATAATTATTAAATGCTTGAGAGTTAAATTCATCAACATTATCAAGATGAATTATTTCAATGTTATAATATGAAAATTATAGCCGTAATCAAATTACTTAAGCAAACAATCTTGAAAACACCAAGTTTTGAGCCGATAATACGTATACATGTGATCATTTTATGGATATATTTGTTAAAAAAATAAAATATCTAAATGATCTATATGATGGATGAATTAATCTACATATATCACCTTGAATACATTCTAAAAAAGTTAGACAATCAATTCTAATTTTATTTGATGATGGCTTAATAATAAGTTTGTCTTGAGAACATGTAGGACATGAAAGTTCATTAAATTGAAGAATCTCCTTACTCTTCAATTGATGCTCATATGAATTTTTAATAATTTTTTGCATCATAATGAATCCAAAACGGTCTAATTGATCATGACATAAAAGAAAAGAATTAGTAAACTTATGGTCTATTATAAAATTTGTTTCAATCATTTTAATATTTATGTAATAAATGCTAAAAAAGAAAGCATGTAATTTTTTCATTTCTTATTTTATATACAATGTAATTTTTGTAATTTATAAGTATTTAATATTCTATACATTTTTTATCTCGATATGATATCCATTTAGATGAATATTTTTGAAACTCAATAAATTTATATAGGACTTGGGAGAGAAAATTTCCCTCCGGATAATAATATATTTGTTCTTCCAAAGCTTTCAATTAAATTGAAACTACTAGATATAGTGTTAACGTTAGTATTGCACATCATTAAATTGGAGAAATACCTTTTATTTTTAAGTGTAATTTACATTGTTACACTATCTACGTGGTATAAATTCTCATCTATGATGTTCAAACCAATTTTGAACTTGGTAGTATCCATATATTCTTCATAAACATAAAACAAATAAAATAAATATAGAAAAAAATAATAACTATCATGATTCAATAAAAATTATAAGAAAACATAAAAAAAATTTATTTATCACCAGAAAAAGCTAATAAGATATTAATTTTAATGATTATCATTAATTTGATGATCTTTTCTTCAAAATCTTCAAAAAAATCAACAAGATCTAAATGTGTCAAATCACTGAAACCATTAAGAGTAATATTACTTTCTTTCTTTTTCAACGGGGCTTGATAAAACTCAATGAGGTGTTTTAGCTTATAACATTTACACAACTAATGTCCTTTCATATCACATCTATAACATTTATTTTCGAATGTCGACTTGATCTACTTTTATTCTTTTTTTTATTCTTTTATAGTTTATCCACCTCCGATGGTGAGATGTATTATTCTAACTATCGTGATTATAATGATAATTATTTTGACCATGACTATAGATATTGTCACGACCACGTGCATGTCCTTGTCCATACTCAAAATTATTATAAAATATCACATTCACTTTAAGAAATGGAGTAGACTCAATTAGGGGGATTCATGATTTTTCATCAATAGTTAGTTATTTTGTTCAACCATAAGTAAGCATGAAATCATTTAATATTATTTCTTAAAACCTTTTTTCTCAATATTACCGTTGTACGAGTACATTCGAGGTATGAAAAGTAGAGAATGTTTTCTCTAATATATATGAATCAATAATATTTCCTCCACATAATTTTAGTTGAGAACCGATTCTAAATGCTACAGATTATACTCACTGTTTTGAAATCTTATAATATTAAGTGCATCAAATCATAACAAGCTTTTAGAAGAATTATAGTTTTTTCTTGGTTGTACCTTTTTTTTAAATTTTTCCACAGTCCAAGTGGATCCTTTACCATTAAATATTCAGTTTTTAAATCCTCATGAAGATGATTATGAAGAAAGATCATTGTCTTAGGATGGTTTATAAGGATTCTTGATTATCATCCATGATTGTTTGTTCAAAACCAAGTAGCATTTAAATGTATTTTAGAATCAAACACCCATGATAAATTATTATTATCCAAAATGTTAAGGATCACAAAATCAAGCTTTGTGAGGTTTGACAAGATAAAAATTCTATAATATAAGATATAATAACAATGTTAAAAAATAAGAACAAACATAATAATAAAATTCAAAATTTTCAAACAACATTCATTAGTTCATTAGAATATATATTAGATCTTTCAATTTTTTCGGACGTATAATATATGTACCATTATATTTAGGTGTTGTTTGATAATCAAGAATAAAATAATGGGAATGAGAATGCAAGAATCGGAATGAAAATTAAAAAATCGGAATGACATTTATATTTTCATATTGTGTTTGAAATACTTATAAAGAATCGGAATGTAATTTAAATTTTTTAATATTCGATCTTTTATACAAATAAAAATAATGATTAAAAAATAATTTTACTAAATTATTAATGGAATAATAAAGGTGATGGTGGTGTGTTAGTTATGACGAGTAGTGGTTCTATTGGTAATGGTAGTAATGGTGGCGGTAGTGGTGATGGTTGCAATGGTTACGGTGGTGGTGGTGGTTGTAGGGGTGGTGATAAAAGTAGTTAATAGACAATAAATAAATAAAATATATTATTATTTAAAAAAACATCCATGCCCATTTCTTATTTTTATTCCTACATCTTATGTGAGAATGAAGTTGTGTGTAAATTTTTATTTTCATTCTCACTCTTCATTTCCATTTTATTCTTTTTAATCAAACAACTACAACGTGAGAATAAAACTTTCATTCTCATTCTCACCATTCTATTCCCGATTGCCAAACAACACCTTAAAATAAAAGATAGTTTAGATAAATACCTTTTAATAGTTTAGATAATTTGTGTCTTTTGGTAAAACACTCGTTTTGGTAACGTGTTGAAAAATGATAATAATTACAAATGATGCGAATCCTCTTAGTTTGATGGCTAGAGAACCTATGAACAAGAAGGGGAAATCCCGAAAAGCCAAATCAGATTAGAAAGATATGGACGTCACACTCTAGATAGGTAGAAAAGGAGTGATAAATCTCTCAAACGCCACAAGAATTGAATTAGACTCTTGATAAGTTCGATTCGGTTCTAGAAAGAACTAAGGTGTGAATTTTCTCACAAAAGTTAATTTGATCAAAAAATTGATCAAATAGAAAATTACATATTATTTTTACATAAATAGATTGATTTGATTCAAAGATTGATTAAACTGAAAATTACATATTATTTTTACATAAATAGGTTGCTAGAAATTTAGAAAGACAAAGATGAATTAAAATTGCTTAAGACATAACAATAAAAAAATATTGAATCCAACAAAGCTTTGAATAAAGCTTCTTAAAATTGGAAGAAACTCCTTTAATTTGGCGGCTATTATTGTAGACCAAAAATTGATGAATGTTAAATAAATAATAGGTGTAAAATGTTGACTTTGCAAAGGCTTGGAAATGGGTTGAATCAATAGCTTTAGCTTTGTTAATATTGGTCCCAAACACCAAGACAAGATGGTTCGGCTAGATTGGACTTTTAAGTCCGAAAGTTTCAATCCAAACAGACTTGAATCAAATTCACAAGGCCCCTCCGAAGTTTTTCAAGTCGGATGATGGATTAATCAACCCACTTAAGTTGAATAAGTCCATTTACAACTCATGGATCTTCTCGGCCCTAGCCTATGTGATCGGGCCTACTAGAATGACTAATGGATCACAAGCCCACGACCGGATTGTGAATCATTTGAAGCCCCACTGGTCATACTCTTAATTAACATTTTGAAACCTTACAATCGGAAAGTGGTTCGGCTTTTGGTAGCCAATTGCCGGAAAGTTGTTTATCCTTTAAAAGCCTACGACCGAAGGTGATTTGGCCTTAGGTAAGCACACCACTAGAATGTTGTTTGGCCATAAGAAACACAAGACCAACCTCTTTGGCACTAGGATCATTCGGCCCAAAACTCATCAATTTCAATTTTGGTTGTGGATCAAGCATTTTTAACCTAAATATTTGCTTTGACTTCTCTCCAAGCCTATATCCTTATTGTCTAGCTCATTGAGCGATCCATGTACCAATCGACCCATGGACATTAAGTAGTCCATATTATTTAGCCTAAATACTTGCTTTGACTCATCTCCAAGCCTATATCCTTATCGTCTAGCTCATTGAGTAGTCCATGTACCAATCAGCCCATGGACATTAAATAGTCCATATTATTCAGTCTTCATGTTCTCATCAACAAAAGATTGTTACGATAATGGTAAAAAAGATATGAGAGAAAGATGATAGGAAAATGATTTCATTGTGAAAGAAAGAGAATACTAGTATTAGCAACTACAAAATAATTTTTTCAATCTTTACAAAATATTTATATACAAACTAATGAATAATCAAATATATTTATAGGTTTCAAAATTAGAAAGAGAATTTGAAAAGACTATGAACAATTAAAAATACATAAATTTTTGAATCAATTTCATTATATTTTCAATTTCTCATATTCAATGGTAAATTTAATTACATTAAAAATTATGAGTTGTGACGTATGAACATTCATATAAATATTCATTATTTCATAACACATTCTACATTAATTAATATTTCATTATTTATTTCATTATTATTAGACTTTAATTATAACCATTAATTAAGCACTCCGAAAGTTCTTAAGATTTTTTTTATCAGATGTTCCTACCAATGAAATAGACATTCTTGAATCAAACTAACAAATAGAGATTGAATTGTATTTTTTTTTCCTTCGTTTTTTATTAGTATTAGAAACAGATATTTTGCTAAAATCCACTAAACTGCCTCCACTCAAAATTTCCACATATTCTCTCCTAGTGGCAGAAAACCCAAATTCCAACTGGTTAGGCTTAATTATTGTGATCATCACAGCATCCATTTTTAATGCCGACTCTTGTCTCCTACTATCTTGACGACCTTATTCACTAGCAACATTAACATTAACATTAACAAACTTGAAGAACAACAACTCTTAAAGAAAACAAAAACAAAGAAACCGGTTTTTTTTTTTTTTTGGGTTTCACAAGATGGCTTGTTTGACTCGGGTTTTAACGGTTTCTTACCCGATAAAGCCGTTGTATGGATTTTATTCTTGCAGTTCTCATAACTGGAGGATGAGTAGATTTGCAGGTGCTTCTGATCACAAATTGAATTTGAGATGGAAAGCAATGGCATCAGAATCAGATTCTTCTTCTTTTGCTATTTCAGCTGACTCTGATTCTGCTGATAGAAACGCTGCCGGGTAAAAGATTTCTATTTTTTTTTATTTTTTTAAATCCAACTCTTTTTTAAAGTTTTATTTGTGAAGAATGTGAAATTGTTGACTTATTTGCTGGGTTTGGTTTGGTGGGGTGTGCTTGAATGTTAGGTTCTGTATTATAGAAGGTCCAGAAACAGTGCAGGATTTTGCTAAAATGGAATTGCAAGAGATTCATGATAATATTCGAAGTCGAAGGAATAAAATTTTTTTGCATATGGAGGAGGTGAGGATTGAAGAAACTATGAATTGAATTCTCTTTATATTACGTTTCTTTTTTCTTTTTTGGTGGTTGGTTTGAAGATTTTGTTTAGATAGTCTGGTAGCCATATTTAGCTAATCTTATCTGAAATCCAAATTTGAAAGACAAAAAAGAAGTCAAGTTTAAGTTTGATTACGGTTTAACAAAATTAAGTTTCAAAGTACGGTTTTAGGACTCATCAAAGCTGAAGATGACTGCGATGGGATAGACCTATTAGCCAAAAGTGCTATATAGTGATGCTCATACAGTACAGCCGAAAATAAAAGATTCCGGCCTTCTTAGTTGTTCTTTCAGTATTGCTTTGTACTTAGTGACATAATGACTAATGATGTTATTTTAATGATCTGTGTATTAGATTTCGAAAATGAGTCTACATTGCCATCGTTTTGCATTAAATTCAACTTTTGTGATTTTTTTTTTAATTTTCTTTTTCGATGATATAATGCCCCAAAAAATGTCGTAGGTTCGTAGACTAAGGATACAACAGAGAATCAAGAATGCAGAACTTGGAATCTCCAATGAAAATCAAGAGAGTGAACTTCCTGACTTTCCATCATTCATTCCATTCTTGCCTCCCTTGGTGAGTTTCATCTAGTTCTACTACCTACTACGTTGATTTTAGTTTAAAGTGCCTTCTTTCTTTTGTTTGTTCATTTCAACATGTTTTACTTTAAATTTACTGTTTGTTTTGTATCACACTTCATGAGAAAAGTATCTTTTTCTTTACCTTTAAGATGCTGATTGCATGGTGACTAATTTTGTATGTAACATGCAGACTGCTGAAAATCTGAGGCTGTATTATGCTACTTGTTTTTCTCTTATTGCTGGGATTATCATTTTTGGTGGCCTTCTAGCACCCACAGTAAGTTTTTCTATGGGCTTGATTGTTATGATCATAAACTTAGAAAACCAGGCTGAGGAGAACTAGTAATATTTGTCAAAAATGGCATATAATCAAGCAAGTTTTTGTATCGTTTTGGAGTGTTTGTTTTTGGCATTGTTTCTAAGGATCTATCCCTTTTCATCTTAGTTGGAGCTTAAGCTTGGATTGGGGGGCACATCATATGCAGATTTTATCCATACTATGCATCTGCCAATGCAGCTGAGGTATGGTGCACCAATGTTGTCTCTTACAACTATTGCTTGGTTTCTTGATCCTGATTGTTGAGTTTGTTTTCTCCCATTGTTTCTCTCATCAACTTCAAGTTCTTATACGAGATACACAGTGTTTAGAGAATTATGTTGAAACACTATCATATTTACTTTCTTTTACATGCCAATTTCATTGTTTCCAAGTGCAGTCAGGTTGATCCGATAGTGGCATCATTCTCTGGGGGAGCAGTTGGAGTCATCTCAGCCTTGATGGTGGTTGAAATAAACAATGTAAAACAACAGGAACATAAAAGATGCAAATACTGTCTTGGAACTGGTACATTCCCAGCTTCTTCACTCTCTTCCCTTGTTTGGATTTCTTGTCTGCTGTGGCCTTTAATGTTTATCTTTGAAATGATTGATTGTTGAACTTAGATAGTTCGACAATAAGAAAGGTTTTCCCTCAAGTACTCCAGCAGCTATACAGATCCTATTTGCTTTCCAACTCAATTTAGCTCTGTATTTTCAGTTAGACGATGCCAATATCAGTCTCTCTGTGACAGATCTGCTTTGCTATCCTTAGACAAGTTATGCTAATGATCATGATCTGGAAAATTTTTAAGCTTCGACCTGTTTGGTGCATCATTTTGCTCCATTAATTGCTCAAAGATCAAATGATTTTTTTTTTAATAATACCACAAAAAAATAAAAATAATAAAAAATAATAAAAAAATAATAAAAATCTTTCCTTTTTTTCTATCTTGGCAAAAAAAATTCTCCGAAAACCCTAGTCCCGTAAATTGCTCACTTGGAGAATTTCCTGCCTCCACATGTTAACCTAAACACCATTCCTGCAATTTGATTTAGTTTATGCTGATGATCGTTATTTATTGTTATTCAATTTTGGCTAACCTGTTTATTTTTCTCCTAGGATGAACAACTCTACTAACATAATTTAATCAAGCTCAAGAGAATAATGTACTTGCCGTCCTTATTTGTGATTCTGTACACTATAAATGCAGGGTACCTTGCTTGTGCTCGTTGCTCGAGCACAGGAGCACTTGTTCTTATTGAACCAGTTTCAACAGTCAATGGTGCTGTTGAGCCTCTATCAAGACCTAAAACAGAAAGATGTTCAAATTGTTCAGGATCTGGAAAGGTTGGTCATCAAATATTCTGTGTTTCCTGGCTCAATTGTTGAAACATTTTCTTTCTTCCTGCTGCTTTTGTTCACGTATCTCATATTTCTGGGTGGGACGAGCTGCTCAATGAGATGAATTACATTTTTTTTTTTTTAAAAAAAAGAACTTTTGCGTCTGTTAGGAGAAGTACTAGATAACCCACTTATTTGATCCTTGTGTTTTTATAAATTTGTCAAATAAGCTCCTGCATTTTCAATTTGATCAATTAAACATGTGCATTTTTACTTTTAGTCTTTTGAGTACAGTTTTGCAAAATTGATAATTTGCATCCAATAGATTGAATAAAAATATAATTGTATAATTTGCATACGTTAGATTGAATAAAAATATAAGACACTTATATAAATATTGCATGTGGGTCCCACTCTATATGATTATGTATTTTTTATTTTTATTAAATGTATAAAAATTATTGATTTTGCAAAATTGTTCTCAATTGATTGAAATTGAAAATGTAAATGTTTCAATTGATCAAATTGAAAACATAAAAGCTGATTTGATGAATGTATGAAAACACAGGTGCAAATAGTGGGGTTAGCCTAAATTTTTGGGAGGAAATTATTAACAAGATGTGATGGTTAGCCATCAGTATTTAAAAAATAACAAAATCTTTTCTGCACCCAAGCAGATTGTTCAAGGACATTGGACACAACATTCCTCCACCCTTTTTGAGGCTTAAACACCAAGCACCTAATTCTGATTGAAAAGCCTTGTGAGGCTACCTGATGGCTTTGGGGAGAGGTGTGCCACCAGCTCCTCCGGCCTAATTTTTCTTAGCCGGAAAAACAACGTGGAAAATTTCAGTTTTTTTTTTTTGTTCTTTTAGTTGCCCCATTATTCAAGGGATCAATACTGTTACTAAGCTCATTATCCTACTCTAATTTGAAGTCAGAATAGCTGATTTTGTTTTTATTTTTCAATATTTTTCAGGTCATGTGTCCTACGTGCCTTTGCACCGGGATGGCTATGGCAAGTGAACACGACCCGCGGATTGATCCATTTGACTAGAAATGTATTGTCAGTCGCTCCCCTCACTCCTCCGTGCCGTAAATTTGGAAGAGCTAAGAGCCTAAAGCATACTTACTTTGTATATACAAACAGCTGGATGTTATTCATGCCCGTATTTTTACTTGTTGTAGAGGGGAAATAATCTAATCAGTCATTATGTAATGGGATTGGTTTCTAATATGAATTTTTATCTTTAATTGAACTAATTTTATTTTTATAAAATGATTGAACTTTCAATCTATTTTTATATTAATTTTTTAATGTCAGATTAACATAATTAGTCATACACATGATTTAACATATATTGAAAGTAGCAATTCTGGTGGAAGAAGAGAAGGTCACTGGAGAGAGAGAACAAGAGGAGAGGAGATGGAGGTTTCGAATTGGAAGAGAGATCTAGTTCTGTGTGACTTTTTTTAAAAAATTTTTCTTTTGCTTGTCACGTGTTTTCCACTTGACTGACATATTTAGAGAAATCAAGGTCATTTTTAGCATAATAATAAGTCATATTCAAGATTGATTTTGTTAATTTGAATGAAAATTTTTTAACAGATAATAGATTATAAACTTGTTCATTTTATAGGGATAAAATGGTTCAATTAAGGATATTATTGTTATTCATCTTAAAAATTTTAACTTACAGAAAAGTTAAAAATAACTATTACTTAAATAAAAAAAATTAAAAATCAAAATTTAATTTTTAATGAGACGTTAAAATTTTCAACTTTGACTTTCTTTTTTGGTCAAACAACTTTTAGTTCAACTTTTTTTTTTTTTTTTTTGTAATTATTTATTTCCAATTATGACTTAATCAAAATTTTTACTTAAAGTCATTCCGAAGAACTATCAAGATTTATGATTTTGTTTTGGAGATCTTCATTGTATAATTCAAGGCTCTATGTAGCTCAAGGCTTTTCGAGTCTTTCGTCAAACTAAAAAAAAAATCACCACATGAGGAATTTTAAAAAGCTTCGTATGTCTGTCCTTTCTATCTTAAATTTCAATGTTGCATGGAAACGAAAATAACAAAGACAGTTTATCAGGAACCCAAAATTTTAATTAAATGATGACAGCAAATTATGAAGGCATAATGGATTGTGCTGTTTGGGGCCAATAAACAAACATTTACAACTCACTTATAGGCAGCTTCTCGTAATCAAAGCCATCAGAAGGATCTGTCGTTGTCATAATGATTTATATTGCTCAATCAAGCGGGAAGCGTGGAGTCGTGATGTAGGGGCAACGGTGCATCCCAAATTTTGCAGAAAGCCAATCTGTCATTGAGCACCATATGAGAAGATTGAAAGTTTCGCAAAAATGGTGCATAAACTCCCGTGAAAGAATCGAAACCATATATTGGATTCACTCATCGTACAAGTAGCAGTTACCTGTTTAGATGTTGGTGCAGATGAACCCATTGAATTCTCTATCCTTAATTTCTGGAAATGCTCCTGCAAGGGGAAAGACATTGCCTCAGATTTTCAACAAGATGAGCCAAATAACTTCGCACACAAATAAGCAAAACATTCTTTCATACAGGATATGAGCCAGAAGGGACCCAACTAGCACTCCCTTGTAAGTTAACAACTTGGCAGAAACATGTTCTTTTTCTTGGTTTTATCAGGCCGTGCTATGGGGGGCAGGGCAATGGAAGCGGCAGGGGAAGGATAAAGGCTCTCAAGGCAGTCTAACCAGGATGAATTTTGCCTGAATAATTTACTATTCTGATTTTTTAGATCAAGTATTTAAGTGCACTGATTTTGTTACAAGGTTATGGAGGTCTAGCACCTTAATCCAACCAAGACAGGGAACATCATTAGAAGACAAAAAAAGTGAAAACTCTAAACTCAGACGAAAAATCAAGGAGCAAAGTTAAATGCTGAAACCAGACCTGTTTCTCCCGCATCAAATGAGCACGTTGATCGGCAGGAATTTGCTCCCATCTCAGCACCTGTCAGTCAAGAAATTCCATAGTTGATAAAAGCCATCGTAAATGCACGCAAGAGTGAAAGGATATAGTTAAATCAAGATATTGTGTCAGCTTCTGTAGTAACTATTACAGAAACCAATCCTAATGCAGGTAGATCTCATCAGTTAAATCCACAGAGTAGCCAAAGAAGGGTTGAGAAGTGCAGTGTAAGCTTACATGTTCTGCATACTGAAAAGCCTCATCACAGCTCAAGCAGGATTTCAATGCACGCAAAACATCCTGAGATATTATGCCAGAGCAACATCAGTACATACTAGACAATGCATCATCTTGAATACAAAAATTTACAAATTGTGCCACCTTGTGTTTGTTTTTCTTGACCCTCAAGCGTTCATCAATAACAAAGCTGACCTGAAAAATAAAATAGAATAAGGCATTGATCAATATAACAGTGCATCACAAGGAACTATGGAAAGCATTATATAGATTCCAAAGCTATCTACAACCAAGAAAAAAATGTCAAAATTCAGACAGTATCTTTTCACGATACAAGTGACAGAACTAGATTTTATTCCAAATTAGAAACGAAGCTGCTATATATCATAATTCCATCTGAACTACCCCCATACCATATTGTATCATTGATCAGAACATAGAATGACAGAATGCAATCAACAAGCAGCTTCCTCAGAAAATAGAAGAAATATCATTGTTTGACTCAGCTCGAAACTGTGACCAGCTGACACAATTTACAAGAACCTCAGATGGTTGAAACCAAATGCACAGTGGGCAGTTAAATAGCGAGTATACACACTCATTGTGAGTACAATATTAACAAAGATGCCACTCATTTTCAAAGACCCATGGGAAGGAATAGGAAAGAAGATAAGGTGGTTTATAAAATCTATGCATCTAAATGTATGAATGCTATCTTGAACTGGCAGATGCACTGAGAAAGCACCATGAACAAAAAGGACCTAAAGAACATATTAATCCCTCGAGACATACATCTCAAATTTCAAATTTCATAAGCTCATAGCTGGCAAAAGTTACCAGATAGGAAAAGAAGGTCACCTTATTAAGCAATCTCTTAGGGTTTTGGAATGCTTGTTTCTTGGCCCATTGATGGAATAAGTGGGAAACAACTGATCTGTCCTCAACAGCAAATCTGCAAAAGGTGAAAGAGGAAGTAATAAAAGGTTATTTTCTAAATCAGCACTACCAACATGCTACAACAGCTACAAGCAAACCATCACAATTTCAAGGAAAACCTTTTCAAGAAAATATTTGCATTGTATATATCAATTGTTTGCATTGACTCTTTTGAAGCCTCATTTATCCCTTTATTAAGGAAATCATTTGACTCTGTTTCTACTTCAGAAACTTGCTTTTCCTTTGGTAGATCAATGGGAAAGTCAACGGTTTCATTTCGGATCTCTTGATGTTTTGTTTGTAAATCTTGTAGACATACTTCAGCCTGCCATTGACATGAATAAATAAGCATCATGATTCACAAAAGTCATACACTTAGAAATGCACGCTTAGAAAAAGAGTACTCTCAAACTCATTCAAACTAGTTGGGATGGACAGTCTAACAAACTAGCAAATAACTGAAAAAAAAAGCTTTGGCATGCAAAATGATTATCTAGAAATATGTACAAAGTAGACTTAGTCTTAGAATTGCTGAAATCCACCTTGGCAAAATAACTAAGATTAGCAGTCATAGTGTTGCTATTCAGCAAGGATTCTCTCTCTCAAAATCAAAAAAGCATTAAATTGACTTTATACAAGTAATATGGTACCTGGCTGATAATGCATAAGCAGTTTTCGTATGATTCAAATACTGTAGAAAATCGCTTGCAGAAGGCAAACGCTTGCAGAAATATCAAAGCTGATTGATCACCTCCTAATTTCTACCAATATTGCCCTTTTACTCAATAAATTTGGTTTGTTCACCTCCTAATTTCTGACAATATTGCCCTTTTACTCAATAAATTTGGTTGGTTCATGCACTGAAACATTTATGTTAATTTCAACCATGCACCGCAAATCAATTTATTCTGAATCTTCATTTCAGCAATAACATCAAAGATAAAGAAGATTTTACAGGTCTCAATGAGAAGGTAAGTGTGAAAGTTGCAAGGGAAGGGGATAAAACAGAACATGACAGTCAAACCAGCAAAATAAATTGATTTATGTTTATTTCTTTTTAAAATATAAAGAAAAAACAGAGCTTGACAATCAAACAAGCTAAACGCACCTGAATCTCCCGAAGATGATCTGGTATCTCTTTGAGAAAACGTGATGGTTGAAGCATCTGAAAGGACTCAAATTTTAACTCAACTGTAACAATCGAACAAGAAACCAGTAGAAATAGTTTATGAAGGTCAAACCTGCCAATTTGAATCCGTCACGACATACATGATGAAAAGTTTCTTTCGAGCACGAGTCATTGCCACGTAGAATAGACGTCGTTCCTCCTGAGATTTACAGCAAGAATTATCAGTTGAGCGCCACTACGAACTAATTTGCAGAAAGCAACAGAAGAGCAATTTTCCATGCAAGAACAAGCTCACCTCAAGTGTGGTCCCATTTTCCTTTGCACTGCCATTAAATTCATGCAACAGAGGAATCTCAGATTCATTTACCTGCATCAGAGCAGGTATGATGAATACTGAAGGAGCAAAAACTTGCATATCCAACAAACAATTTTCTTAAGGAAAATTTTGCAAATACTGTTACTAAATTTGACTGATTTACCAATAATTCATCACCACTATTCATCTCAAGTTTGCTGGTGTTCTCCACTAAAATGCTGTTAATGCAATATCATTTGAAATATAAGAAAATAAAAATAAAAATCATAAATGATGGAGGTAACTTTTAAACTTTAGAGGGCAGTTGTGCCTTAGTACATCAACAGAAAATGATCCAGGTACATCAAATTCAAACACCACATCTAGAGCACTTAACTAGTAAACTCAAACTTCTAGAGAATTTTCTAGAAAGAACACCGGTTGATGACAACCCCCTAATTAGGGTTAGAAGTAAAAAAGATGCAGTAATGCAAGCTATTGCACATTTGATTGACACTCTTCTTCCCATAAAATTCTTCAAATAAGTGGACAGCTAGCTCCAATTATATTAAGTGGGGCATGGAGAGGAAATGTGTAAGGATGACAAATTCAAAGTCTAGACTGAAAAAAGAGGAACCATAAAGATATAACACATCAATACTAGAAAATAAGATGTTTGAATAACATGGAAGGTTACTTAAATGAGTGGGTCAAGACTCAAGCCAAGGCAGAGAATACTGAAGTCAAATACCTTTACTATGAAAACAACATCCCACTCTAAGCCCTTGGACTGCACAGAGAAAAAGAGCAAGATGGAAAGAAATTTTAGCCAATGTCATTGCTATTTGCTAAACTCCATCTAGACACTGAGAAGAAGGGAACTGATTGAGTTGAGGAAAAACCTGATGAATGGTAGTCAGAGTTACAGAATTTTCATTATCATGTCTTAGAGAACGAAAATTTTCTTTCTCCCGTTCTGTTATGTAGTCAATAAACTCTTTGAGTAATCTAACACAACCCTTCTGTTCTTGTACAGCTTCACTCTCCCCTTCTTTGGCAGCAGCTTGCTTAGATAAAACATCAGACACATCATCCAATAAATACTGAAGAACCTACATGTAGCTCAACCAAGTTTTAACCAGATGTCAGAACATTCGATGTAAAGATAATATGGATACACCAGGAAGTATAGGAATATGAAACTTATTTAAAACTTCAAAGGAAAAGGAAAAAAAAGGAAGCTATCCTAGAAAATCATCAATCACGGAGTTCTGTCATCTAAGGATACAAGCATACAACCAAAAAGGATTGAAATTTTCCACTTCATTCCAATCATCATGTTCTAACACACTTGATATCTTAATAGTAGCTCCAGCTGCTAGAATCTTTACAGATATTGCAGATTATATAGATTAAGTAAAAGCATAGATATTGCAGATTATATAGAATAAGTAAAAGCATATGTGCTAAATTATTGCATCATCAAAAGATACTTACAGATCTGAGGTCATTGTCTTCATTGAGCAATTTCCCTCCATCACTATCAACCACAGCCCGTTGCTCAATAAGGTATTTCTACGATTTCAAGTCTTGTAAGAAGATGATCAAAATGTGGATGTAGGGACCACAAACATTAAAAAAGAACTAGAGAATTCACAAGATTGTCGTAGTTCTGTGGTGTAAATCAATTTAGCATCAAGAATGTTCTTAAAAGAAATAGCATATTTCTTTTAGTACTGCCAAACAAGATCAGCTCTTATGCAGCACTGCCACACAAACATCTCCAATGAGAAGTGCTGGCATATTATGAGCAATTTGTGTAGTTAACTTGAAAGGTTGATCAAGGGTAACAAACCTGAGGAACCATATTTGCCACTGAAGTTATAACAGCTGAAATTGACTGTTCCTGTAAACAAAAAAGAATACACTAAAAACTTGTTGAAAGAAATTTGTGCAACTTGAATGACATTTAACAACCATGCGGACAAAAAATTTTGCAAACATCTTACATTATTTTTACATTAATATTTCAGTCTAGCAAAGACTAATACCATAGCTTGAAAAGACGAAGTCTCCTCCAATAAGGCAAAGTTTAATACACCCAAGCACATCTCCAGTATTGGATTACTAACTAAAATCAGGTCAGCAAAACAAAAGCAGTTCTTTTCATGCTCACCATAGCCATTTAAGACCCCTGATCCAATTCACATACTACTTCCTAAGGAATTTTCAGTAGCAAACATCAAGTCAGTAATTCTAAGGTAACTGGTTTATTTACCCTGTGAACAAGTTTGGAAATCATCTCTAGTGTTGACAACACCTTGCGTCCCTGTGTGAGTTGACTCCTATTATAAACAAAAAGGGAAAAGTAAGAAAATATGCAAATTTTATATGGTACATCAGTCAAAGACAATGGAAGGTCCTGAGACAGAATTTTCTTATGCCCAACTGTCTAAATCTTGTACTCTTAACGTGTTACCAACAAAGATGTTACAGTGCTCAGTACCATGCTAGATAGAAAAAATTTGCAGGTTAAAAAGCTTATTAGTACTATCACATATTTCTCGGTATTAGAAACTCTAAAATGCAAATAAGGAATGCTTCCACCAACAACGCAACAAAATAGAAAATGCCAATGCAAACTAGTTAATGTGATCTCAAGTCAAAGTCAACTTTACTGTTTCAGTTCTTGGACATGTGGATACTATCAGTTGCTTATCCCGTATAAAATATTGAGAAAAATTGAGAAACAAGAACCTCTTGAAGGTACCAGAAATCTTTGCACCAAAAATGTCACAGGCAGCAGATACAAAGCTACATTTTCGGATCACTGATATTTTATCAACATGATCAATAACCTGGAAGAGATGAGAGATGTGATAGGGTCATACGAAATGAAGATACCGTTATCCAGAAATAGACACAAGCACAAGAAGCACAAGAGCCAAGGAAAAACTAAACATGTACCCTCTTTTTCTCCTCCTTCTCAAAAGGAAGCAAAACCTTGAAAACTTGACGATATGAGCCACCATCACAGCCCGGCAATGTTGTTCTAAGCATAGCAATGATGGCTTTAACTACCTATTACAAAGCAAGTGCTTATTCAATAACCAATAACTTATTGAGGATGTGAATGCTAAAGCAAACGCTGGCAAATATAACTACTTGCATGTTAAATTGTTATTCAAAAAAAAATAGTATTAAATCTAACTATATGCTCAGACAATAGAAAACTTATGATACTTTTGTCACAAGAAAGTAACTTTAATATACGAAAACTACTGAAACCTGTTAAGCAGGCTAGACAAACCATTGACCCAGCATAGGAAGTGATCAAGGAAAAGAACACTATCTTAACACCATGCTATAACCTCATTTTGCATCTTCTGGTAGTTATGCAAGTGTGAAGAGTTCAATTTTCAAAACATTTGAAAGAATATATAATTGAAATGGTGATTAATGGAACATAATTTATATTTTATTTTTCAAATGTAATCAATTTTTGAGCTTCAGCATCATTTTATGATAACACATTAAATGTTTGACAACAACAATTTTCATATCTTTACAGTTTAGGAAGGAATCTAAGAACTTCAACTCCATTATGAATACAAGTGGGATCAGAGGCGGCTTCAGCCCACTTCCCCCCACCCCACCCCCAAACACACACACACACACACACACAGCAAGGATAAAAAAAAAATCCCCCCTCCTTAATAATGTCATGTATTGCAGTATTGGTGTTTAAAAAAAAAATCAGCATATCCATAAAATAGAAAAGCCTATCCCCTTTTGTCCCTAAAAAGAATTGCTTAACATATTTACCTTTCCAGGGATGGAAAGTTTCCTTCCTCATCTTAAAGAGAGAAAATATTTGGCCCCCATTCCTGAAGAAAATGTTGTTTGATCCCTAGAAAGAAAAAAATTTATTCACTCGCATCCTAAAAAGATATTTTAACTTGTTTAATTTTTTATGTCCAGTTTCTAACAGTACATCAGTTGATAGGAACACCATAAGAGAATGATAGCAAACTTGTATGAATATTCATGATTAAGATTGTAGCACTTTTAAAGATGTCCAGTACCTTTTTCCTATAAAAAGCCACCCCATGAACATTAAATGGTATTTTCCTCTCACGAAATGCTAATTGAAATACCCTTCCTGATACCTGCAGTATAAAAGGTGATACCAAGACCAGTCAGCAAATATTTTATTTACTTTTTTTCAGCACCTTAAAGAGTAAGGAAGTAACTTGACCTGCCTCCTGTAAAGAATAGCAATACTTCCATACGATGGCTTAGAAAGTGAACCATCAGATGCAGTTTCCAAGATCTTGTCAACAACAAATGCACATTCTGCATGCTCATTTTGGCATTCCTTGATAGCTATCTGCGCAATTTGGTCTCATACAGAAAATTAACTAGCTAATGAAACCAGAAAAAAAAAAAAAAAAGGAAGAAGAAAAGAAATGAGCGTTTCAGATACTATGCATATGGCAATAGCAAGATACCTTAGATCCACAAGCATTATCTGTAAGAACATCCTTGAAACAGCATCGTTTCAAGTTATTTTGAATAAGAGAAGATGCAGCCTCAACAATATAGCGTGTGGACCGATAGTTTTTATTGAGTCTAATCTGAATCATCAAGGCACAAAAAGTATCAAGAATACAATCGATGCAATAATATAAACAATCTAAAAACTGGTAAGAAATTATGAATACACTCCAGTTATTTATCATATAATCAAGAAAGCATACATAATAATGACAAAAAGGATAGTCAAAGGATAGGAAAGACCTCTTTGTAATTTGGAAAATCATGACGAAATGAGTCAAACCCCGAAATGTCAGCTCCATTGAAACTGAAAATGGACTGCAGACAGCATGTGTGCGAGTTTAGAACTAATAAATTACAATTCATTAAGAATCCTTGGGGTGGGGAAAAAGATAAAAACGGAAATGAATCGGTGAATTTTCAGAAGATCAAAGAAAAGTTATGCCTGATCATCATCACCAACAACAGTTATATGATTATGAGATGAAAGAAATCGTAAAAGCCTGTATTGCATGGCGCTTGTGTCCTGGAACTCATCTATCACAATGGCTTTCCATGAATCTTTGCACTCCTCAAATACTGAAATGGACAGTTTTTACAATTGTAAGAACTTTGGTAACATGTAAAATTTTGTAAACTTATCATGTACATTCGGATAATACTGACCTTCAGGAAAATCAGTGAGCAACTTCACAGAACAGCTGATTAAGTCATGGTAGTCCAAAGCATTACAAGATCTTAATATGCCATTGTAGTTCTCAAGAATTGCTGCCTGAATGAACGACAGACCCAAGAATCAAAGGTTAGAAAGCAAACATATCGGGATGATATCTGAACTAGAAATTTAATAGCTTACTCCAATTTCATCACCCCTTTTTTGGAAATCTGCAGGAGTTTTTCCAGAAGCTTTAGCCTGAAATGGAGCACGCTAATGAACTGATTCCATGGATAAAATCTGCTAACTTCCCACTTAAACATATTAAACGTTGTATACGTAGAAGAGATAAACATATCCTAAACAATTTATTTTGCATGTCTTGAATGAAGGAGAGGTAATAACCAGTCAGCAATGGGAGGGAAAAATTTAGTAATCAGCAAGTTCCATTATATTAGAATATTTCGAGCCTTGAAAAACACTAAATGCGACCAAGCACTTATTAAAATGATAGTAATTCTTAAAAATAGGATACAATAAATAAATATCAACTAAATTCTATTTTATTTCAAGATCATGAAGTATAGCAGTAGATTACAAATTGCTAACCTGAGTCACGAACTTTTGCCATTTCTTTGACTTGTCCTTGAAATACTCTGGAGACATTATATCTTTAGAATCTTTAGCATGTTTGCAGGCATCATCATTTTGTAGACTGCTCTTTTCCTTTTCTAATAACCTCACAGCCTCAATAATTGCTCTTCTCTGATGCCCATGTCCATATATCAAGAATTCTGATGTGCGGCCTAACCTAGAAAATGAGCCACAAGTTACTCACGGTTTTACAAGAATCATATTATCATACATAAGAAGCCAGCTTAAAGCCAAGATCCTATCCAAGACAACAGAAGACTTTTACATTTTCAAAAAAAGACCAACTATTTCTAACTGTAACAGGTAACATTCTCATATGATTCTAAGAGTTATAATGGCAGTGGAGAACACTTATTTAGGAAGAGAACATAGCGCAGAAGCAAATGTGTAAAGATCTAAATCTAAGAATGCGCATACTTCTCTGCATGTGAACAACAAAGTTGCAAAGAAAAGGAATGGAACGTGCTAATCAGAAGTTCTTTAGCTTTTGCCTTTCCAGCCACTGCTGCAATCCGATCTCTCATCTCAGCAGCTGCAGCTGTTGTGAAAGTCATTGCCAGAATGTTGGATGGACTAAATCCCTGACCATGTTTCAAAGTACACAGGAAAAACCCACACATAATCAAAACAAGTAAACTATCAACTATTAACAAAAGTAGGTACATGAGAAAAACCATTAATAGCAGGCAGATAGAAACACTAAATCTAGCACAAATAATGCACCTCTTTAATCAAAAAGAAAAAAACATCTGCAGCCAAAATTCAGCAATACCTCATGGAGCAGCATCAAAACACGCCCGACCATTGTAGAAGTCTACATCAAAAACAGAAAATTCAGAGCAGAAACACCTAGACTTGCAAGCCAAAATTCACGAATAAAATTCATGGCTATGCTCAAGCACACCACAGATAGGAAGAGAGGGACTGACCTTTCCACTTCCTGGACCAGCAACAATCATCAAAGGAACCGAAATATCACTACAAGCCGCTTCACGCTGCCTATCATTCAAACCATGCAAGTACTTTACATATTCTCCAGGCATATTCCCATACTGCATTGCCTGACAAATACTCTTATCTTCACTCTCGAAGCCCAGCACAGCAGACTCCGAACTAGCTAAACTACTCGCATTTTCCTTATAACAGTCACTTTCAACACAAAAAGTCCTATTCGGACTTCCCTTTTCTGATTTTACAACAGATTTCTGCTCACAAATCGCATCAATTTCCTCCAACATAGACTCATCAAAATCATCATCGTCTAAAATACTACAACTAAAACCCGAACCGTCTGACTTTTTCACCGGAGTAATAAAAGAATCCAATAAACATTTACTCTCTACATCACTACCATTAACTAACTCCGACACTCGTGAGACACTGTCTTGCGAAAATCGTGATGGCGGCGTGTTATTAGATATCTCCGCAAGAGGAAATCTCGGTGATTTAAGTGAAATTACGTCGTTAATTCTGAAATTAAAAAACGAAAAGAAGAGAAATTAGGAAGGAATTCAATTAATTTATGAAATGTGATTTGATAAAATGAGAAGTTGGGGTTAATTCTTGCTTACTTGTGAGGCAATTTACGGGGAGAATTTGCGGTTGCCACGGCGGGGGTGGTGCAGTCGAGAGGGCGTTTGCGAGCGAGGAGCGCTTTGGCGGCTCTGAAATTGTGGGAAATTCGAGCTTTTTGTTCTTCAGTTATGATTTTGGTGCACGCATAACTGTTTTCTTTTGACATTTTTTATTTATTTATTAATGGAGATTAAAGAGAGTGAAAAGAGAAACTGCGAATTTTGAATTTGGGAAATGGAGACTGAAGAGAAAGAGGTGAGGTTTCGTTTTGATGTTTTCCCTCTCAAGGGCACTCTAATCACGTGATTTTCAAATCGATGGGCAGGTTTGGGTGCTCTAACGGTGTCGTGTCTTGGCTGTCTTAAAACGAACGGCGTGTCGTCCAGTGGCTACCCCACTTTTCTTCTTTGTCCTAAGAAACATTCGGACTTTCCCATTCCCCTGGCAGAATAGAAGCACTAAGAGCTTCATACGGCGACGCATCATCTGGTTTGGTCTCTGATTCATCTTCTCCAACAACAATAATACGGACTTTCCTTTTCTCCCTCGCAGAATGGAAGCACTGAGAGCTTCATACGGCGACGCACCATCTGATTCGGACTCTAATTCATCTTCTCCAACAACCAAACCAATCCCTGTTTACAACCCACAACCAGACCCCGTAGCTTTGCCACCTCCGCCTATCTCACTTCTCACTCCTACCAATTCTCTCGGTAGCCAACAAAATCTTTCATTACTTTGCTTTTACTATCAGTCCGGTTAGTACTTGCTTTCCAACTGTTTGATGTTTTGTCAATGAAGGTGTATCGGATTCCTTGCAAAAGGGTCAGTCCAGTCGAGTTAGAAGCTTCCCTCATGTTAAAGGGAACTATGCTTTGCACGTCTACATTCCAGGTTCTTCTATATGTTTCCCTTTTTAATGTTTTCTTAATCATAGATATGAATAGAGAATTTTGTTCATTTAATTATGTGATTTCAGTTAATATACCGCCTGTGTCGAAAAAGGAAGTGGTTCAGTTCTTGAAGAGGATATCATCACTTGTGCCCGGTCTTCATGCTGTTGATGCTGATATTCCTCTTGATATTTTATGTAAAGATGATCAGAAGTTTGAGCAAGTTGCATTAGGTAGGGAATTCCATATTAGCTTAGGGAGAACCGTGCCGATTCGAGTTCACCAGATTGATTCAGTCGTTGTTATGCTTCGGCAGAAGCTTCAATTTCCAAAAAGGTCAGTTTCTTTTGCAATTATAATCAACTTGTATATAGTTCGATGAGCTTAAGCATAAGTTCCTGTTATGAGGTTACGCGAATTTTTTTTTAAGACAATGTTTTGTTGAAGCAGATATTGGATCGACTTTAGTAAGTGGGAAGTTTTCGTAAATGATGAGAAGACACGCACCTTTCTTTCACTAGAAGTTTTGAGGGGAGGATTAGCTGAGGTATGATGCTGTTCAAATTTTGTTTGTGCATTTGTTACTTCATGCTCAAGTTGTGCTTTCCTTTACAACTTTGTGTAGCTTTATATAGCAATGATTTGTTCTGTTTCAAATGCTATAGATTACGAAGCAAATTGAATCTGTTAATGAGGTGTATAAGCTCCACAATCTTCCTGAATTTTATAAGGTGAGCTTATTGATTCTCATGGACATCTGTTGCCAACTATGATCGGTTTTGGGATATATATATCTTACTAGACCATTGTACTATGTTGGATGTTGCACATAGGATCCACGCCCTCATATATCGTTGGCTTGGGCAATGGGAGATGTTAGCAACATCTTAAAGAGAGAAGTTGAAAACAAAATGAAGAGGTCAAGCATCGGGGGTTCAATGCTGAAACGTGTATTTGCTTGTAAATTTGGCGGAATTGATTGCAAGATCGGTAAAAAAACGTACAAAATTGCTGAATTTCTTGATGAATAATAAAGCTTTTAACCCATATCTGTGTTTCTATTGAAGTTGTATCTTCTGTTAATCAGTTTCGTGCATATCAAGAATCTGATCTTGTATTGTTTGTGTAATGAAGGATGATGAATGCAGGAAGCAACTTACTGTAAGTAATCCCATTATGTACTTTCAAAGTGAATTTTCTGAAAATGTCTTGAATAATTGTCTAAGGACCCTTCCAAAGCCAATATCTGCTTGCTCTTCCTCGCCAGAAAAAACATGGCATAGAAACAAGTAAGTGGATTTCCATCCTTGACATGTATTATGTAGTCAACAACTGAAAATAAACACAGGGATTAGGATATCATGGGTGCAACTAGTTGGGCAGGAAAACCTCATCAACCATATATATGAGCCTAAGTACCAGGTGAAGATGACCAAAAAAAAAAAAAAAGATTGGAGAAAGATTTGATTACCTGACTCATTCATTCCTCGTGTTCAACATTTCTTCCATGTTCCCTTTCTATGATCCAATCCATCAAGATCTTTATTGCTTCAAACCAGTTATTCTTGACTGTAAGGGGTAAAGCAATCTCTCGTTGACCACTCTTATCTTTCATACAATCAGGACAGCTTGAAAGCGTTGCATTGATCACCTCAGTCTTCAGCCCTCCCTTTGATAGTTTCATAACGAGAAGGTTCCATATTCTTTCTTCCCTCTAACCGATAGAGTTTGATGTCAACTTCCTATAGTATTTCCCTCACAATCTCAACAATATGGCCGCTGACTGCTGCTATGATATGCATGGAGTTAAACCTTCTTCATTTACTTATATTGCAAAAAATGACTTATAACCTCGTAATTTGCTTCACAAAGTCAGCATGCTCCATATCATAAGCAGTGTTCAAGGGGATCTCAGCACACGAAGGTGTGATGTTGAGGATAAAAGTATTTTTCTGGTCAGAAACTGCTGCAAATAATCAATGTTCCCTCTTTGAGCAACTTCAAACAGCCTTGTATCAATTGTATGATGTATTGGCCTCTTCTAGAAAGAAATTAGATTTTTCGTGCTACTTGGAGAGGTCTGGTTAGCATGCAGAATAATTGTTAAGTAGAACTCGTCAGCAGAAGCAAATAGCAGTCCGTGTTTTTTGTTCTGTTTTTCTGAAGAAATATTTTCTTGTTGTCAAGCTCTTCATTGTGAACTAATACACATAACACAAACAGGAAAAACTAATACGTAGAATTACAGCTGCCAAAAAGAACTTTCAATTAGAAATATGAGTGGCTTCGACCACTCCTTCAATCTAACCAAAGGCATGGGGCTTGTCGAATTACTTGATGGAGAGATAAGAATAATATATTTAAGAAAACACCAGTACAGCAGGGGACCAATCCTGCCACAAGATCCTTTATCAAAACTCATTAAGCTTGGCCATCTATGTAGAACTTCAAAAACAAATCAGAAACTAGTGCAGCTGTGAAGTGAGAAGAAAAAAAAACATGAAACAGAATATCAATACTAAGATAAGACAACCAAGATTTCTCTTCATATTTTCTGTCTGAAACTTTCTCATTCTTGCAATTTGAGCTTTCAATAAACAGATATGACTTGAATCACAAAAGTATGGTATTCCACGCAATTGAGAAAAAGGGCAAAAAAAAAAAAAAAAAAAAGCCGAAAGCCGCCCAAGCTAACATTAAAGTAAGACCTTATAAGGAAGCCAAATCAGATACAGCACAGCTCAGCGTTATAGTGTAGCAACCTTATTGTTCATATGACAAGTCAGAAAGCACAGCTCCATGAACAAGAACAGATTATGTGCAGAATCTTGATAACCAAAGTCTCAAGCAGCATCAGAGCTCTAAACAAAATGTTAAGAGGATTTGCTATAGAAATTACTGCCATATTCTCGAGGATGAGTAGATCTTCTTTTAGCGACCGGTAGGGGTCTATATTTCCCGTTTGAGATGCCTTGAGCAACTTTATATCCATTCTGATATAAAGAAGCTTCTTCTGTTTGAAATGTTTTAGCAAATAGTAGTGGTTATTTAGGGTGTTGCTACACAAGAGGATAGAAGAATTTCTTGGTTTATAGAAGAAATCATTTTAATGTTCATTTAACTAATCATCAAAATGCATTTTATCTAAAGGAACTGTCACAACAGAGTTGATTGAAAGCAATGCAAAGACCAGAAAAACATAGAAATGGAATAGCAGACGCAATGTTCAAAGATAAAGACGAGAGAAAAGAAATATGGAGCCGAAATGCATATGTTGCCGTAACTCATTCTGTTTCAATAGCTTCAGATCAGTAAACAAAAAAATTTGTCACAGAAGTTCATAAACTCCATCTGGTCTTCTTGAATTTCGTAAGATTTGCTTCTATACATCATGACCGCCCCATTTGCCTCAGTATTAAGGCTGGTGGATTTCACCCTGAAAAATGGATATGATCACTCAGTTACTTAAGCCGAAGGAGAAATACCTTGGTGACAGACTAGCAGTTGTCACTAATCTCAGAGGCTATCTTGAATGCTCTGCTCCATATTGCTGCTCCTGCTTCCCATTTAGGCTGTAGCTGAAGTGAAGATATGAGCAAGACAATCATACTCAAAGCTTTAGACTTCTAATTTTGCATCCATTCACTTTCAAGCTGCTCTATAAGTGAAGTCCTTGAAAATTGTTCTGAACATTCTTGTAAGTGGGCGTACTGGACGGGCTAAAGTGGAATCAGTTGAAGACAATATGGTTTGTGGTTAACAGGACAGATAGCTAGAGGTTGGAAGGCACAATCATAGTTTTAAATAACGTCCATTACTTTATACAACAGTCATTATGCAACGATTTCAGAGTTTCCGTTATCATTATCTTAGTATTATATTAAGCTGCAACCTATGATAACTACTGTAATTGTTTTTTTAACTGTTCGTCGTTTAAAACTATTGGCACAATGCTTGGCAACGTGGTGCCGTAACTACAATACATGGCAAGCAGACACGTTGTGAAGCTCAAATTGCAAGGGAAATTTAGTTGTAAAGAGACATGGACATTCCAACTGAGATGAAAAATAGAAACAACATAAAACTAACTGTGCTTGTGGTAGCCAAAATGGACTGACCTGCAAATTAACTTATAAGAAAACGAAAATTTGGATTTTTAGGGGAAAGCCTGTGATTACCATATCTAATGCACGTATAGGTTCTGTGGGCTCAAACTTCAGCCATGGAGCCAATTTTGCCACTGCTGGGTCAATCGTCAGGCTTCAAAACACTGTTCAGGCAGCAAAATGGACAGAGTCCCATTTCATTAGACGTTCCGCTTGTTCAATATTGAATAAAAAGATCCCAGATGTCGCCAAGGTGATCAATGCCATCCCCCCGTATGTTTCTAATTTTACAATTAATGTTTGTTAATTTTTCTTTTTTTCCCTTATGGTAGATCATAGAGGTAATTAGTTAAGTTATTTAATTTGGGAAAGGAATATGAATATTCGAAACCATCCTATAATGTTTTGTTGAATCATGTGACACAGGAAGGATCTTTGAGACTTTGCTGACAAAGGCAGATTATTTTCCCAAAGCTTGGGTATCATTTACAAGCTCATAAATGAAATTTTCGCATAATTACAGTTGATTAGTGCTTGAACTACTATGTTAATTGAATAAAACATGTGAAATTATTTTTTTAAAAATCATTCTAATTGGATGGTACTAGGTGCACCAAAATATATTGAAATCAATAGCATTTTTTTCACCAAACTTTATGATTCTTTAATCAATTTTTTTTTTACTTAATTAATTCTTTCCTATATTCTTTTTAATATATTTCTTTCTGAAAAAAAATATTTGATTTTTTTATGCATAAGTTCTTAAATAAAAATTTGTAATAATATAAAGAGTAAGTTTCAATTAATAAAAAATAAAAAATGTGTAGATTTAATTTTTTTCCCTCAGAAGATTGTATAATAAATAAATAAATAAATGAAGCAACAATTAATGTAAAAAAATATTGCATAAAAATTTAAAATAAACTTTTATCCTTATTAAATATCAATGAGAAAATTAATTTTTAAAAGCATAGACTTCATGTTTATATTTATTTATTCCCAAAATAATTAATAACATTAGTATAAAAAAAAACTTTAATTGAAAAGTATGGTACCATCGCATGTTTTTTTTTAAACATCATTTTTAATTGTTTTGTTTGAGGGAAATTAATTTCAAAATATCCATTTTTTATAAATAAAAAAAGTAAATGATCAGTATTTTATTTGCATACGTAATCCTTATAAAATTAATATTAATAAATATTAATTATATAAAAAAGAAGTAAATAAAACAAGTAGATTCAATTTTTTTCTTCTTAACATATGTTTTTGTTCTAAGTCATACATGTTTGGTTCCCATGCATAAGCCTTGCATTTATAACAATCACTTCTTCTTTTTTCACTTCTTACTTTTATTCATCAATTAATTATTTTTAAAATTATTATTTTTCAAAAACCAAAGAAAAAAATTGTCTCCAATACACTTCCAACCTTTAGATCAAACATACATATATATTTAGAATTGTGATAGTCTCATTTAAAATTTAAAAGAATCCATTATATAAATCATATTTATTTATTTATTTATTTTAATAAAAGAAAGGGACTATGTTCATAAAAATTTATTACAAAATTTAGACATAGAAAAAATAAATCATATTTGTAAATAAATAAAATTTAATAAAAAATATAATTGGATGAGAATTTTCATAAAAAATGACAAATTGTAAGGATAAGTTTCAAATAATAAGAATAATATAATTTAAAATATATTCTAAATCTAAAATATAAAAATACATCACTAATATTTTTTCCTCATTCTAATACACTAAAAAACTCAAAAATTCAAATTACATTTAAAAAATAAAAAATATTATGGAATCTCGATTTTCTTCCTCCAACTATTTTATGTCTTAAAATTATCATAAACAAACTCTTTTCTCTAATATAAACAAATGAAAACCAAGATCAACGATCAAAATGGAAAGAATGAGCCTTGCCGTAGGTTTCTCTATCTCCCCTTCTTTCTCTTCATTTATCTCTATATTAAAGAATTAAATCACGGTCTAAATGAATTGGGGATCAAAACAAATGTATTAGAAAAAATTAAGGATCAAAACATAATATTTGTCAAAACTTGTATATCAAAGGTCTCAGTAAAATTCAAAAATTGCAAAAATATTATATCGAATGCTTAAGCAAATGCTGAAAATTAATATACTATTAAATACATTAGTATCAAATGAATAATGCTTATGAATATAGATGAATGGTAAGAATAGTGAACAAACCCTTTGTTTTAGTTTTTTTTAAATAAGTATATAAATGTTATAATAATAATATACATAATTGTTGGTGTAATGGCTTTCTTTCCTTTAGTTATTGGAGCAGTGAAATATTGAGTTCTGTTATCAATTTAGTTTATTTTGACTTAAACTATCATGTTTTGGGTAAATATTGTTATTCTATTTGATTTGACTATTATCATTGATTAAAAACTCATTTAATAAATTTAATTTTTGATATTTTGGATTGATTTTTCTTTACATATACTAATAAAAATTCAATCTATTTTCCAAATAAATTTCAAAATTTTTTGAGTTCAAGCAGCATTTTTAAATTTTTCTTTAACATTAACTATTAATAAAATTGAAAAAATATAATAATTTAGAATTATTCCAAATTTATTGGAAGATATAAAAAAATCATATAATTCATCTACTTAGTTTTAATACGTTTTTCAAAATATTTACATAGTCGAATGCATAGTATCTAACCAACTTTAAAATAGGTTAATTTCAGGAACCACATATGTAAAAATTTTGAGAATTATACTAAAATTACCATTTATCCTTAGATTTTTTTTTAAAAAAGGAGAAATAATTCTATTTTATTTTCTATTTTTTATAATTTGTTGATTTTTTTATTGGTTAGAAAATAAAAAATACTTTCAAATTCAATAAATAAATAAATTATTTGTGATAATATATTGAATTTTAATTATTTTTTATAAATAATTTCTGTTGAAAATATCAATACATGAATTTTTTTTTAAAGAGGATTTTGATCAATACAAACTATCAAATTAGACAGCGAGACTTGCTCAAAATATGATAGTTTAAGATCAAAATTTACCAAATAAATAGTATGGGCCGGAATCTGCCACCCTAATAACTCAGGGGCAAAAATTGTCATTAAACCCATAATTTTTTTAGGCTGGATTCAAACTTGCAAGAAATCAGCCCAAATTAAAAGTCCAATATCCACATCCCAATTTCTTCCCAACTCCCAAGTCAGGCCCTGTAAATAACCAACAGCCAATGGCCAAAACCGTACTTTCATGCCTTCACCTTGCACCCAAAAACCCTAATAACCCCCTTTTCAATTACCCAAGCCGAACCCAACTCATAATTCTTCCCCATCTGCTCTGCTCTGCATCTGCGAAAGTGAAGAAGCGAAGATGCAGATCTTCGTGAAAACCTTGACGGGCAAGACAATAACCCTCGAGGTTGAGTCCTCTGACACAATCGATAATGTCAAAGCCAAGATTCAAGACAAGGAAGGAATCCCACCAGACCAACAACGTCTGATTTTCGCCGGAAAACAGCTCGAGGACGGCCGAACACTCGCTGACTACAACATCCAGAAGGAGTCCACTCTCCACTTGGTGCTTCGCTTGAGGGGTGGAGCCAAGAAGAGAAAGAAGAAGACCTACACCAAGCCCAAGAAGATCAAGCACAAGAAGAAGAAGGTCAAGCTCGCTGTACTGCAATTCTATAAGGTTGATGATAGCGGAAAAGTCCAGAGGTTGAGGAAGGAGTGTCCTAATGCTGAGTGTGGTGCTGGAACTTTCATGGCTAATCATTTTGATAGGCACTACTGTGGTAAGTGTGGCCTTACCTATGTTTACCAGAAGGCTGGTGGTGATTAAGCTTCATTAGCTTTTTTTGTTTCAAGTATTGAACGAGGATTTTGGCCAATTTCTTTCCTTTTGTTTAGCGCATGTTTGATGCTGAACTTATAGTTATATTTTCTTGGTATTAATTGGTAATTTGGAGTTTAATTATTGGTTAATTAGCTGTTTGTGTTATGTTTTGTGCTGTGCTTGATCTGTGTTTTTCTGATAAACCCTTTTTGATTTACTTCTATGGGGAAAAATGGCTTTAACCTTGTAATCTGCTTCAGAAAGTTAGCATGACCCATGTGAGAAGCAATGTTCAAGACAACAACTTTTAAATGGATAATCAACGTTACCTCTTTGGGCAACCTCAAACAGCCTTGAATTCATTATATGTTGTATTAACCTCTGCTAGGATAGTTTTTGCTAATTGTTAGAGGTCTGGTTAGCATGCTGTCTCTATAAATAAAGGAAATTATTTTATATTATCAATGTCTTCACTGTGAACTAACACAGCAGTAGAAGAGAACTTTCTTTTAAATTAGGGCTTGTTGAACTCCGTGAGGGAGAGTGTTTTCTTTTATTTATTTCTAATTAGCAGAATATGTTAGAGAAACACAGAAAACAGAAGCTAGTGCAGAGCTCTAAAGTGTGAGCTTCTGATCATATTTGTAGTCTGAACTTCCTTATCGTTGCAATTTGAGCTTTCTGTAGGCAGATTGAATCACAGAATATAGGATTCCATGCATCATGAGCCAGTGCTTGCCAGTAAGCACAGCTCCAGGAACAACATATTATGTACATAACACGATTTGTTTTTCTATATTCGGCTTTTTAATTTCATTATGTTTTTCATTATAGGTTAATTTTGGAGCTGTGTTTAATTTCATTATGTTTTTCATTTTTTTTTTTGTTTGCTAAAAAGAACATGATTTATTTTTCTATATCTGGATTTTTAACTAAAAGTTTGTGAGAAAATTCAAAAATTCAGTCTGAGCTTTCTTATCCTTGTGATTTGAGATTTCTATACGCAGATTGAATCACAGAATATAGGATTCCATGCATCATGAGCCAGTGCTTGCCAGTAAGCACAGCTCCAGGAACAACATATTATGTACAGAATTGTAAAAACCAAAGTCTCAAGCAGCATTGCAGCTCTAAACACAGTGTTCAGAGAATTCTCTTTAGAAAATATTGTCATCTTCTCGAGGATGAGTAGATTTTCTATCAGTAACTAGTGAAAGTAATCTAGATTTCCCATTTTGAATGTATTGGCAAATAAGATTTTATTATGTGGGTTGGCTACATAAGAGGAAGGAGAAATTTCTTGGTAAGAGAAGAAATGAAAGCCAATTTCAATTTGCATTTTAACTGATCTTAGATTTTGTAGCTTCCTCTGAGGAGTTGATTTTGTAGATGAATGGAGATTGCAGGGGTATTGCTGTGCCAGTAATTGTTTTTGTTCTAAATAGGCAATGGAAAATCTAGCAGTAAAGGAAAATCATGAACAATAGAAGCTCCTTGTTAAGTTCTACATAGTAGACTACTGACTCTTAACGAGTAACTAGACATGCATTTTCAGATACTACCAATAACTGAAATTGAAATTCTAATCAGAAAGCCTATAATGGACATATTAATTGACCAAAGGAACATTTTTGTGTATGAACAATCAAACAAGTCTTCAATTTTCCGAAACAGAAATTTTCTTTAACTATAACTTAGGCGATTCAGAACAGCCTTAAGCACTCCGCAGGCCGTGCCGCCAGTGAATTTTCTAAGCTTCTCTAGAAGTTGTTTTGCCAACTTGGCTACAATGGATATAGTTGAAGTTAAAATTGCTGTGGTTAAAACCACAAAGAGACTGAGCTTATCTGGTGTAATGTTTATCAACGCAGTGTTGTAAGTGGCGAACATTGCCATGAAACATATTTGTAGCTCAAATTGCATGGGGAATCTACATGTGAGGGTCCTGATCATGCAAAGAGATACAGAAAACCCTTGAAAAGTACGAAGACGGCAAAAGCAACTCCATCAATAGTACCCAAAATGGACTGACCAGCGAAGTGCTTTGGGTAGCTGCTAGTGCTATTGCTTTGATCTGCTATATTATTATCTTGCCAAACGCCTCCTGGAGGACTGACTCCAACTTGAAATGTTGCAGTTGCAACAAGAACAGCGATAACCAGTAGCGTGCCACGTGCTTCGCCGGGAGGGTCCCTGCCCTTTAGAAAGTTGAAGTACTCGACCAGATTGTTGGGTCGAGATTGATGCGTCTCTGTTGTTTTGGAGGTGTCAGTATGGTTTTGATTGCTAGAAATGGCAGAGAGGGTGATATCTCTAGATTTCATAGCCCCAGCACCTAAAAGGATCTCAATGATTTCTCTATCCCCTGCTTCGCTTGGTGAAGTAAGTAGCATATCCAGAGGAGTAAGGCCACTATGGTTTATGGCATTCACTTCCAGTGAGCCTGGACTTGTATTTCTGGTGCCGAGTAATAATTCTATCACCTGCAGTCATAGCTTTTTATCAATTAAGAGTCAGCTAGAAACAGAACGTGCAACTAGCTGGCCTAACAAACGTTGTGACTTTGTATAAAATTGGGGTAAAATCAAGGGATGAACGAAAATTAGAGAGTCCATAAAACGTACCTGGTATTGTTTTTTCCAGGTTGCCAGGTGCAACACTGTATTTCCTTGCTGATCCTTCATGTTCAACACGTCTTCCTTGTTCATTTCTTGGATCTGATCCACCAATATCTGTGTTGCTTCGAGTAGGTTATTCTTGATGGCAAGGTGCAATGCAGTATCACTTCGAACAGTCGCCAGTTCAATACAATCTGGACAACCCAAAAGCATTGCAACGATTACCTCTACCCTGTCTTTGATGGTCGCATAATGAAGAGGAGTTCTTTCCTCTATCCCCTTTAATCGGCACAGATTGTGGTCTACTTTCATCAGCTCCATCACAATTGCCACATGCCCCTTTGCTGCTGCCATGTGCATGGGACTAAAACCATCTTGATTTATTTCTTTGGCAAATTCTGGTTTCAACTTTAAAATCTCTTTCACAAAATCAAGGTGCCCCTCATTTGAAGCAATGTGCAAAGGATTTTCAGAGAACAATAATGAAGTGTTGTCGAGGGAAAACGGATTTTCTGCCAGCAATTGCTGCAGGTAATCGACGTCTCCATTTCGAGCAGCCTCAAACAACCTTCCATCCATTGTTAAGGTATGGAGCTCTTCAGTAGGAAGGAAAAGGTTTGTCTTAAATAGAGGTCTGGTTAGCACACGGCTATTTAAATTAAGTGCTGGAGAAATATTCCTGTTGGAAGAAGAAAGCATATTTCCTTGCTTCTTTTATTTCATTTGTTTATCTATCTATCTATCCATTTACTTTGAAAAAATTATTAGTTTAATTTATCTTCTGCAGGTCTGAAAAAAGAAAAAAATGCGCTGACACCGACCGAACAGAACCTAGGATTAGCCATCTGTTGCAGAAATGTATTCTATTGACCCTGCAAATTCTAATATAATGATGTAATTGACTAAAGAAAGTTCCGAGTAATTTACTGGTTCTCAAGCTTTGTGCTACAAGTTACCATGAGCCATTTGTGGATTGAAAAGTGGCAGAAAGTGATTCGGAAATTTGCAGTTGCTGCTGTATTAGTTGTGCTCGTCAAACTAAGAATATAAAAACACCTGTTTTGAGTGTTAGAACTGGAAAATTGGAACAAAGATTGATTTAAAAAATTTAAAGATCTGCTAATGTCAATGGACTGTAACATATTTTTCGATCTCACGGCTCAAAGTCCCAAATGTTGATTGTTATCAAAATATTATCCTACAGGCTCCTATCGGAGTACCCTTACATGTGTAGTTAGTAGTTAAAGTAGTACTTTTGGCATTGACTTTGGCAGGAGAGGCCTTTTTTGTTTTTTTTTTGTTTTTAGTTGCAAAGCCCTTAGAAATAATATGGGAAGTTTCTGACAACAGAAGAAACGTTAACAATTAGCAATTTTAACAATTAGAAATGTGAGGATTGGTATTGAACCCTAAACCTATAAAAAGACAGGGATTCTACTTAGACACAAGACAGAAAACTGTTTGCTGCGTGGAAGAGATACAGTTGATTTATAGCTAATTTTACTTTTTATTTGAGGAAAAATTTTCTTTTTTTTTCCTGACGATCAGATTTTATTTAAAATTTCGTGTTGCTTGAACTCAGAATCCACATCTGACATGGAACTCAGATTAGGACAGCTGAACTCTTGGAAGCTGCACCCAATCTGACTATCTAAGTGCCCCATATCGATCAGTGGTTGCAATGCTTTGCTCAGAGCTTCATTTTCAGAAATGGTCTGTTTTTGCAGTGGTAGTCTCAACTCTCTTGTGTATGCATTCAATCATAACTCTGAAGAACAATGTAAGGAGTTATCTAATCCCCACCTAAGTTTTCATGATGCCATTTTTAACATCGCAACTTACTGCTTTCAGAAACTGGATAGACTTATTAAAGTGGGAGTTTTATGTTACTGATGATTGGACGGGTGCCTTTCTTTAAGTAGAGGTTCTTACAGTAGGATTGGATTGAGGTATGCTGCATAATTTTCGATTCTATGCTAGCTTCTTTAAGTTTAGCCTCATTATTCTATGCACCTTTTCATGATCAACCTGTAGTCCTTTCCTTTAAAAGCTCATGATATGATTATTATGTAGCCATAACTTATTCTGTTTCAATTGCTTCAGACGGTAAGCAAATAAAATATGCTACAGAAGTTTATAAAACTCCATCAGTCTTCTTGAATTTCAGAAAGTGGCGACATTTTCAACACTTGTGTTCTTTTGCCAAGTCTGATTATTACTTTGTGGTGCGTGTCACGTATTTTACTGTTCATAAATTGGATGTTGTTCATAGGATCGGCAGCCTAATTCTTAGCTTGTGCAATGATTTCGGAGATGTCTTGAAGAAAGAAGTTGAAGAAGAGATGAAGAAATCAAGCATCGAGGGTTTGGTAATTGGTACAGAAATATGTTTACCTGTGGGTACATAATTTTCTGATTTCTTGATGGATAATTAACCTAAAAGATTTGAACAATTTCCATTTAAGTTGCGTTCTGTGTCCACCAGTTAAGGACATATTGAGGTTCAGATCTCATATTGTTTATTGTAGGATGATAAAAAGTAGATGTGTCATTTTGAAAGTAAAGAATTATCATGTCCTTCACATTGTATTAATTTGACGAGAATTTTCTTATCACCTTAGGCTCATAGCTTTTTTCCTTTTGATGCATCTCGAGCCTCCTATTTGCCTCAGGGTGGAGGATGGTGGATTTCTGCCTGTAACATGTTATATGATTTCTCAGTTACTTCAGCGGAAGGAAAGATACCATTACCATGCCCCCAGGAAAGAGAACTTGTGGAGACTAGGTAACAGTTGTAAGGGGGAGACTAGAGAGATAGCACAGCAATTGCTTACTCTCACATATCTATGCATTTACAAAAAGATATTCGATCACCAAACAGGTCCTATACATTGGTCTTATTTGCTGCTAAGATACCTGGCCGACAGCTTCTTACCTTGTGAAAAGATATCAGCAAGACACTCTTGGCTCTCTGCCCTATCTTGAATTCTCCATGCTGCTCCTACAGTCCTGCTTCCCAGTTAGGCTGTAGCGTATGTGATGACATGAGCAAGACAATCAGATTCAAACCTTCTGCTCTGACAAATTATTTTGCACCCATCCACTTTCAAACGATTCTATGAGCTAGTGAAGTTCTTGAAAAAATTTCTGAGCATTCTCGCAAGTGGGCGTACTGATCGGGCTAAAGGGGCCATACTTGAAGACAATATTGTTGTGGTTAACATGACAGATAAATAGAGGCTGGATGACACAATGCTTGGTAACGCGGTGCCATAAGTAATATACATAGCAATCAGACACATTTGAAGCTCAAATTGCAAGGGAAATTTACTTGTGAGGACATAGATCATGTGAAGAGACATGGAAAACCCTACTGAGTTGAAAAACACGAACAGCATAAAACTAACCGTGTTTGTGGTAGCCAAAATGGACTTACCTGCAATGTGTGCATTGTTGCTGCTGGTACTATTTTTCTGGTCAGGTATGTTTGTATCTTGCCAAACACCTCCAGGAGGGTTGATTCCAACCTGGAATGTTGCAGTTGCAACCAAAACAGCTATAACTAGTAGTGTACCGCGTGCTTCGCTAGGTGAATCCCTTCCCTTTTTAAACTTGAAGTATTCTACCAAATTATTTAGGTTTGATTGGCATCTCTCTGGCATTGACGAGTTGTCAGTAGAGGTTTGGTTGCTGGGAATGGTCGACTGGATAATATCTCTTGCTCTCGTTGCTCCAGCATTTCGAAGGATCTCAACAATTTCTCTGTCCCCTGCTTCACTTGGGAAAATCAGTATCACGTCCAGGGCAGTGAGGCCACTATGGTTGACGGCATTCACCTCCAACGAGCCTGAACTTATGGTTTCACTGCCAAGTAAGATTTCTATCACCTGCAAGGATAACTTTTCTTATTTTGCATGTTTCTGAAACAGCTAAATGTTAAGGCAATAGTCCAATTACTATTTGCAGGGTTCATGCACAATTGCCAATAACCTGGCTCAATTGGCATGTTGGCCATCCCCAACTCTTGCAAGACTCAGGTTTGAGTGTAGTAAGCAGAACAAACATAGATTTGTGGTAATTGGTGATCAGACTAATAGGAATGTGGAAGAAGATTGTTTTCCTGGTCTGGGACTCACTCTACTGCATCATTTGTGTTTGCTTGGTCTGTTCAGAGAGTTTCAGCCTCAGCATTAGTTAGCAGTGTTGAAAAAGGTAGCTTCTCCACTGCATCATTGGGACTAGCTTCTACTGGGATAAGTTGTCTGTTTAGAATGGTTTGACAAACAACGAAAACATAGACATTCCCCTTAATGATTATTCTAATTATTTTACTGGGTCTAGGTTTGAAGAAACATTAAGGAATGGACACTAGTAGTTCAATTATCCTGTTTTGACCTTTCTTAGTCTAGGAAAGAAACTTGGACTTTAATACAAATGTTTGAATAATCGCCTAATGGCCCTGTCAGAGTCAATACCTGATTGCTCTTCCTCCCCAGAAAGCATCACAAAAACATAAGTTTAGTGGACCTCCATCCTTGATGGGTGATCTACTGATCTATATGTGAAAATAAACAAAGGAAATGAAGGCATTCTTTAATCTGTACTTCTGCAACACCTAGGATTTTGAGACTGGAAGTTTAGCTAGAAATCAAATGTGCAAGTGTAACTAGTTGGAATAGAAAACCTTACCAGCCATATGAGCTAGTAAGCAATGGGAAGTAAAAAGGAGAGAGGATATATTATATTTATAGGAGAAGAATTTACCTGGCGTTGTTTTTTCCAGCTTGCAAGGTGCAAAACTGTATTCCCTTGCTCATCCTTCATGTTCAGCAAGTATTCCTTGTTCGTTTCCCTGATCCAACCCACCAATATCTTTATTGCTTCAAATCTGTTATTCCTGACAGCAAGGTGCAAAGCATTTTCCCTTTGATCAGTCTGATCTTCGATACAATCAGGACAATCTAAAAGCATCGCGCTGATCACCTCAGCCCTCCCTCTGATAGTTGCATGGTGAAAAGGCGTCATTTTCTGTCTTGCCTCTATCCGGCAGAGTTCGATGTCAACTTTCAATAGCTCCTTCACAATCTCAACATGGCCATTAGCTGCTGCTACATGCATAGGACTAAAGCCTTCTTGATTTACCTCTCTGGCAAAAACTGGTTTTAACCTTATAATCTCCTTCACAAAGTCAACATGCCCCATGTCAGCAGCGATGTTCAAGGGATTCTCAGCAGACAAAAGCGTGATGTTGAGAATAAATGGATTTTCTGCCAGCAACTGCCGCAAATATTCGATGTTTCCTCCATGAGCAGCCTCAAACAGCCTTGCATCCATTGTATGGTGTAGGGAGCACCTTAGGAAGGAAGGAAAGAGATTGTCTTTGCTAGAGGGTTTTTTTTTTCCATGATGATGAGACTATAAATAAGCTTTGAAGAAGATTTCTTGTGGGAAAAGATGTCCATGTCTTTTTCTTTTTTCTTTTTGTAAGAAATTATTTTATTTTGTCAACGTCTTCATACGATTACACCAGCAAATCAAAACAACAAATTAAATTAATTTATTCAGTCAATGAGTGGAAAAGTGGGAAACTGGCATGGGAATGCATAGATATTGCTTTCAGGTGCCTCAGAGATGATGACTACATGAATCATACGGCATGATAGCAGCCACGCGTGTTTGAACTGGAAATATTGGAATTAAAAATGTGGTATTAAAAATTACAGCTGCTCCTATCGATAGCCAGTAGAACTAATTTTGGCTGGTCTATTTTTTTTTATTTCTATTATTATTTTTTTCTTCTAAAATCTACTTTTAGATTCTTTTCCCAATACTAAGTAAGTTTATGAGCTTACCATAAGGTTCGTACTTATTTATTTATTTATTTTTGGTTCTATGATTAGTTTTTATCTTGCTCTTTTTTACTTCCTTTCCCAATAATAATGCTAAAAGCGTCTTTTTTTTTTTTTTTTTCAAAAAAAAAAGAAGCTATAATGCCCCTCTTTATGGACTTTTATTTTTATAGTTCAAATTTTTTCCCTTTTTCCCCCTTTTTTTTTTTTTTTTTTTTTTCAGTTTTTCAGTTTTATCATTATTTGTCCCAAACTTTAGATTCCTTTCCCGACACTAATTAATACCAAGAGATTCTTCTTCTTCTTTTGAAAACAAAAAAGTTTATATATATATATATATATTATGATTTAATTTTCTTCCTTATCAAACCTATTGTGATTTAAAGTTTAAAATAAAAATTTCCTGTTTTTTAGTTTTATCATTATTGCCTCAAATCCTAGTGAGGTTTAGATTCCTTTCCTAATACCAATACTAAGGGCTTCTTCTTTTTTTTTTTTTTGGGAAAAAAAATTCTTTTATGATTTCATTTTCATCTTTATCAAACCAATAACATATGATATATAAAAAAATGGAATAAGAATTATTAACTAAGAATCCTTATCCTAATTAATTATATTAATGATATCCTGATTTTATTATAAACAATTTTTTGATTCTTCTAATTTTTGGAAAAAAAATTGCGATTTAATTATGTAAATTGAAGAATGGTTTGATATACCAGAAAAAAAAATTGAAAATTGTAAAATTTATTAATATGAAATTTGAAATATATCAGAAGGAAAATGTTGAAATACTAATTATATTAAAAGTTAATAAAATAATTATTTTTTATTTTATAAGTATTAAGATAAGAACTATAAAGACGCTAAACCGTTGGGTCACCTATATAGGGTTAATATCCTCACATATCCTTATATAATAGGTCAATTTTCTAATCTATTTCTAAAAAGAAGAAGAAGAAGAAGAAGACTTCTAATCTTTTATTATATTTTGAGATAGTTTCTAATTTATCTTTTTAGTTGAAATTTTGGACTAAATTAAGTCAAATTAAACATGTGATTTTTATATGGTATGTGATTTGATAAAATTAATTTTATTATTTGATATAAGTGATTTGTATCTACTAATATAAAGATTTATTTTTGAAAATTGTTTGAAAATTTTGATCGAAGAATATATTAGAAACAATTTTAAAATATAAGGACAAGTTTGAAACACATTTTTTAGGAATAGATTGAAAAATTAGTCTATTAAATAAGGACATGTGAGGGTATTAACCCCACTTATGTGTTTTAAATTTGGTAAATTAGATTCTATTTTTCTAGTTTTATTCAATTTTACCCATGTGATTTAAATTTGAAAAGTTTATGTCCTTTGATATTTAACAATCTTAACCTCAAGATTGCATTAATTGTTTGAAGATAAGGTTATTGATGAATTATTACGTGAGTAATTTTTGAAGAATGCAGTAGTTATTTGTAAAGATTGTTTTTTAGAAGTTAAAAATCATATGTATTGTTACAATTAAAATCTTAAAAATAACCTTTTACTAAAAATCTTAAAAAATAACTCGTAATTGATATTGGCCTCATTTTTTTTTTTAAAAATGATACTAGTATCTTTAGGCCATTTTTACATACTGGGACTGAATCCTTCACGGTCAGGTCTTTTTTTAGTTCTTACTAGATTTTTTACCTACGCTACGTTACGGATTGGATAAAATATATAAAATCATATAGAAAAATTATTTCAGTTTAATAATTTGTTTTATGATAAAAAATAATTATAATTTTTAAATGAAAAAAATTTATATTTAACTATTTCTTATTTGTGTTTTTCAATTTTAGAAATAAATAATAAAGCAAATAAATTATTGATTTCTTTAAAATTTTAACACCCCATTAATTGTTGGTTCTTTTAAAATTTTAACACCTAATATTATTAAGAAATTAAAATTAAAAAAAAATTCAATGTTTAGGAAAAAAAAAAAAAAAGGAGGCCAGCCGTTTACTGTTCATGTGAATAGTAAACGGACGGAAATTAAAAAAAAAGTGTTTAGAGAAAAAAAAAAGAGGGCAAGCCGTTTACCATTCAAATGAACAATAAACGAGTAAAAAGGGGGGGGGAAGGCCAGCGGTGCTGGCAAAAAAAAAAATGAAAACTTAAAAAACAAAAAAAGCCAAAGTAATATAGCAATGAACGAGTGATTAACACTCGTTCATTGCTACGATGAAAAATGGTTTTTCTTTAGTATATAGTATTAGATTTTTTACCTGCTCTATGTTGCGGGTTGGATAAAATATATAAAATCGTTTAGAAAAATTATTTCAATTTAATAATCTGTTTTATGATAAAAATAATTATAATTTTTTAATAAATAATTTTGTATTTAACTATTTTTTATTTTTTTTTAAATTTTAAAAATAAATAATAAAGGAAATAAATTGTTGGTTTTTTTAAAATTTTAACACTCAATTAATTGTTGGTTCTTTTAAAATTTTAACACCAAATATTATTAAGAAACAGAAATTAAAAAAAAATTCAATGTTTAGAATAAAAAAAAAGGGTGCAAGCTGTTTACTGTTCATGTGAACAGTAAATGGGTGGAAATTTTTTAAAAATTAAATGTTTACCAAAAAAAAAAAAAAAAGAAGGAGGGCAGGCGTTTACTGTTCAAATGAACAGTAACGGATTGTTCGGGGAGGGGGGTCTAGCCAAAAAAATCAATGAAAATTTTTTTAAAAAAAAACATCGTAGCAATGAACAAGTGATTTACACTGTTCATTGCTATAGTGAAAAAGCATTTTGCTTTAGTATATAGAATAATGTGTAATTGTGCTACTTTTTCAACATTAAGTAGTGTTAATTGAGATTAAAAAAAGTGTCAAATCATAACTTTGTTCAATTCACAAATGAGTAAATTATAAATTAGCACCTCTTGTTTCGAGAAATGAATTTATTAGTCCCTTTGATTTTTTTTAAAAAATTATTTTGTCATTTTTTCTGTTTTTAAATTTATTTTGATTTTTTATTTTTAAAATTAAAAAACTAATAAAAATAAGTAAAAATATAGAAAGATTAATGATAACAAAAGACATTATAAAATATAAAAATATGAAATTAATCGTAATCAACATTAGTTAAAAAAACTAAATAATTAGTTCTTAAAATCGGAAGAACTATTTAATTTATTTCTCAATGTTAAAAAAACTAAATAATTAGTTCTTAAAATCAGAAGAACTAATTAATTTATTTCTCAATGTTAAAAAAACTAAATAATTAGTTCTTAAAATCGGAAGAACTAATTAATTTATTTCTCGAAACGAGAGGGACTAGTTTATAATTTATTCATTCACAAATGGAGATAGACGGGAGAGCAAAATAGAAAAAAAAAAATCAAATTTGAAGGAATGATTGAAACAAAATAATAATAATAATAATAATATAATTTAGATTATATTAAGAGCCACATAAATATTCCATATCACGATTACTGAATTCAAGTTCCTCTTTCGATTTATGATTCACCATAAATTCAAAATAAGTAATAAGTGAGAATTTCAAGAAAATAAATCAATTGAAACTTTAAGCTCGAATATATATATATATATATATATATATATATATATATATATATATATATATATATATATATATAAAAAAAGGTTGGTGCATTGAGTTTTGAGTTTGGTTTTTTGTAGAGTGAAATTGATTATGTAAACATGTTAGTTAATAAATGGAGAATTTTGATATAAGAATCTATTGAAATGTAGTCATTTATTTATGGAATAATTATAAATATTATCACTATATTATCTAAATAAAAATGAATATAATTAATTCGATAAATATAAAGATAAGAAACTACAAAATATTTTCTATGGGGCAAAACTCTTGAACTTGCATGTATGTTTATTTCAATTATTCTATTTTATTCACGTATTTAGTTAGATATTGTGATATATTAGAGTTTTTATGTTCTAATTTTCTCCAACTTTATTCTTGTGTTTTAAAATTTTGTAAATGAGTGTTTTTCAATTTTATCCAATTTGGATTAATATATAAACCGGTATGATCGTGTAGAAAAAAAAATTGTCCGATCTTATCCTTAAACTTTCTTATGTAAGATGTAAAGTTAGTAAGCCCTTTATGGAATATGTTTTTTGCTTTTTTCAACGAGAAATACTTTATTCTAAAACTTTTTTTTATTTAAATGTAAGTATATAAATCAAAAGGTAACAAAGTCGGAGAACCGACAAGAGTAGCATATACGGGATATACAAAAAATTAGGAATAGGCTCTTAAAGAAAACCAAGCAAAAGGGCTAGATCCGGAAGGTTGTTCAAGGAATTTGACATTATTATAGATTCCAAGAAAAACCAATCGGTAACTTTGTACTAGCTAACCGGAACCAATTATAGAGGCTCAACGACGACGCAAAAATTTTTGCTGAGAAGACCATAACGGTGATGTAACAATTTACA